TTTTTTAAACCAAGGCTTCACTGTGTAGTTCACGCTGGCCTTGAACTCACTATGAAGCTCAGGCTGGCCTCGAACTCACGGCGACGCTCATGCTTCAGCCTCCCAAGCGCTGGGATGACACATGTTTGCCACCATGCCTGGTTAAATCTAGAAATGCTTTAAACACAACTGAATTTGAGCATATGATCTGAAATTAATTTTCGTATCTTCCATTTTTTTTTTTTATTCTTACATTTGATGACTTTAAGCTTTATGAACTGACACCTTAATTGTCCCGTCAGTGGCGGATGTTTTGATCCACAGCGCACGATCAACGCCTGATCCTCCAAGTCGCTCAAGTTTTAAGGCGGAGGTGACCCTGAGATGCAGGCGGAGGCGCTCAACCCGAATTTCACGCAGAAACTGTGTTGCTTTTACAGGTTTCATGCTCAGGGCCCACATCTTTCCAGCATCTAAGTTCCTATTTCAATTTTAAAATGTAAATATTGTGATTAGAACGCTACTGTATAATGCTATTTAAACAAAACCACTGTTCTGGGAGGGAATCGTCAGCTACCAGAGAGCAGACAGCTGCTGCTTTTTTACGAATACTGACCACCTCCCCATTGTTTGGTCTCTTTATTCTCAAGTAATTTGTGTCTCCAAATAATAAAGGCAAGAAAGGCAATTTCCCTGCTCTTATTTTTCCCCTACATAAAAGGGGGACTAAGTCGTCCTGGGAACCCCTGCTGTTTCCACCAGCGGTTACTGTTCTATAAGTAGACTCTCTTCAGTCCTTGTTACCCTCTGCCCTCCTCACCCCAATGCTCTGAGGTCTACACCTCAGCAAACAGAAGATAGGGAAGAGCGGGGCAGCCCCTGCAATGGGCGAGTGGGAGGCGCCCCCTGGCCAGGGCGGGCATGCGTGTGTGCGTGCGTGCGTGCTGCTTGCAGCCCGGCAGGCACTGGCTGCCAGGAGGATCACCACCCAGGTGTCTCCTTGGTACCAGGAGGGCAGGGCGTGTGCAGCAGGATGGGTAGTTTTCTAGTAATGATGTTTACATTTGAAAATTGAAATAGACACTTAGATACTAGGAAGACATGGGCCTTGAGAAAGAAATCCATAAAAGCAAAATGGTTTCTACACTGAAACTCAGCTTGGGAGTGCTGGCTTGCATGTCACCACATTCCAGTGTCCGCCTTGGTGCAGGCAGAGAACAGGAATGGCAGGTGGCTCAGGAACGAGGCAATGACCACATCCCGGGCTCCCTGGAAGAACTGGCTGGGTACCTGAGATGTATTCTGACCCGAGGGAGCCAACCCTGGGTCTTGGCACTAGAAGCACATGGTAGGGTGACAGGAGCCTTGTCCAGGGCTGTCTAGGACCAGCGGGCTCAGCTGAAGGACAAGGAGTCAGTGCCTGGCCAGGACCCACAGCTGGGTGCCCTAATGGCATCCTTAGAGCCTCTGCTTCCTGGCTCCATCGCCCTCAGCCCTCGACCTCCACCAGCCATGGGGCCCACGATACGCATGCTCCGCTCACTGTGTCCTTCTGCTCCAGCTCCTGAGCTGAGAGAGGAGGAAGAGAAAAAGGAGGCAGAGGAGGAGGAGGAAGAGAACCTTGGGATTGGCACCCTAACTGAGGACCACTTCTTGGACCCTGAAGGCAGCGCCAGCCCTTGGGAGCTCAGCCAGCAAAAGAGGTGGGGAAAAGGCTGGGGTTTGGTGGCTGGGAGGGGGGCTGGTGATGTCATGGTTCCTTCTACCCCTGCAGAACTTCTGTGGGCAGGCAGGCATCCCAGCTCAGCAAGAGGCCCTGCATCCTGCGGGTCTTTCATCAGCCTGCCCCATGTCATCCTGCTTTCCTGCCCATCCCTTCTGTCCTCAGCATCCCCTTGATCTGGGGTGTAGTGTTTCTGCTGGGCCTGCTGCTGGTGGCTGTGGTGCTGGTGGTTGTGGTGGCCAAAAGGAAAGGTAGGTAGCTGGATACCACGCATCCCAGCCCAGATCTACTTGTCCAGGATCAGCCAGTTTTGAGGAGTAGGCCAGGAGTTTGGGTCTGAAGGGAGTTTTGGGAGGATCTAGTCAAGCTCTCACACCACAGGATTCCCATGGTTGAGGGGTGGAGGGCTGGGGGAGATTCACTGGGGCAGTCAAGAATAAGAAAAAACTAGGGGAGGGTAGTGGGCCTGAAGGAAGGAGGATGGGGGAGGAGTTCTGGGAGTGCACTGGGCATCCTGGAGGCAGGCTGGGGGAGGGCAGGGGATAGGGGGGTTTGGGAGGGAAGGGAGAGAGTGAGTGCACCGGAAGGAGGTTCTGGAGGCCTGAGAAGAGAGCAAAGGGACAGGCTTGGAGCTGCCCTGCGAGTTGCTGCCGATCCCGCAGGGAGCAGACTTGGAGTTTGCTGCCAGTTCCAGAGCAGCAGAACCTCAGACACGGTAAGAGGCCTCTACAGGTCCAGCTTCTCCACGCACACACTCCCCTAGAGGCCCAGGAGGGTGGGTGGTGAGCGATGGAGAACCAGGCAAGGTCCGAGCCCTTTCCCATCACCATAAACTCGGTGCCCATGATTTCCTGGGGTGGCTCAGCCTGCTCAAATGTGGGGAGTAGCTTGGGCTTGAAAGCCTTCAAAGCGAAGCCCACTGGCTCAGATGGGCTTAGTATTCAAGAGACTGATGGCGGGTGGGCCCTGCTTCCCACCTGAGGGAGCCACGCAGAGTGAGCCCCTCTCTTAACCCATCTGCCCTCTTCCACAAAGGCGCAGGACCCATCCTCAGCAGCCCGCCAGGCTGGTGACTCTGGGATGGTGGCTGGGTCGCCGTGGGACGTGCCATACGTGAGGCTCGACTCGCCAGCCTCCTTCGACAACACCACCTACACCAACCTGGTGCTGGAGCCCCCACCAGGGAAAGCCCCGGTCCCACCCCCGCCCTCACCTCCCCCACTGCCTCCCAAGGTTGTGGTGTCCCCCAAGCCTGTCACCTATGCCACAGTCATCCTCCTGGGAGGAGACAAAGGTGAGCCGACCCAGGACTCTCCCAGTAGCGCAAGCCCACCTAGCTAAGCTGCTCACTGCACTGGACCCTCTGGGACCAGCCGTGGGGCTGTGGGCATCCGTCCAACTCATGGATGGCCTAGATTAGTGGCATTGAACCTACGGCACGTGTGCCACCGTGGGTTACTTGTATTACTGAAAGCTTTAAAAGGTTCACCATCACTGCTCTAGATCCATGGAATACTGCAGCAGCCAGGGGCGGGGTGTAATCTGATACCCCGACATTACCAACAGGGAAGGTGGTACTCATCTGATGGAGGTGTTTTCAGGCTGCTAACCTGCTCTGCTGGGGCTTCTGCAATGTCACAATAAACCCTAAAGGATGATATGCGAGTCCTAAACTTGCTGGGCTGGTTAGCAAAGGACCCAAGTCTGAATGACTGCCCCGTCCAAGAACTGAAGACTCTGGGAGTCGATGCTGCATAACCCCCCGGCCCGCCAGTGAAGCAGGGCTTTCTTCCCAGTCGGAGCCCTGGGAGGCACCAGGGGTGCCAAAAAGATTTCTTCAGAAGCAGTTCTGGCCTCTCACGATGCCTGAAAGTGCACATTTTTTTTTTGCTTAGGTCCAGCAAGCCCTGCTTTCTGCCATGTACCTTGGGAGCAAGTGACACAGTATTATGTGACAGTGTGCTGGCCAGGGGGCAGTCAGTGCAAAGTTGAAGGATACCCAGGACAGATGGGTGTGGGCTGGAACTAGGAGGAAGGACAGAGATAAAAAGGGCTGCGTGTCACCGCGTCTGCATCTCACCATTCGTTCTCAGCTTTAGGAACTCTTTCTTCCTCTTGAGCCCTCTATGCCCAGCTTGTCTTAGAGAAACTTATCCCACAATTACACTTTTATTTATTTACAGTTTTTGTATTAGGACAGGGTCTACAGGGTCTCACTACGTAGATCGGACTTGCAGTGATTCTTGTTTTCAGCCTCCCAAGCGCTGGGAGTACAGGCGCGGGCCACCATGCCCAGTCTCATTCGCCATCTCAGGGCACCTCGGGCGTGGGGCTGGCTCGGCATGCAGGGATTGACCGCAGCCGCTGTGCTCTGCCAAGCAGGCACTTTAATCCGCTATCTGGCTGGCCCCACAATTTTACTGCACTGTTTATATCTTTAATAGAAGATATAATTTACTGCCATTTGCTTACCTATGATCCGTCTCCCTTACTAAAATGGCAACCTCATGAGAGCAGGTCTTTGATTTATGAGCCCCAGTTCGGTATTATAATGCATACACAATACATGATGTTATTTTCTCCCTCCTCTGAGAGGAAGTGGGAGATCTTTGATATTTATTCAAGGGTGAGCAGGGAGTCCAGTGACCAAGTTCCTAGGGGAGATGCTACAAAGTAATTATTATGGGGAATCTCAGGACATGGACAGAACTGTTAGGCGGCTGTCAGGAAAGGCCCTCATCCAGGCAGTGAAAGGTCCCGGGTCAGGGCACTTCTGGTGCTTCGGCCTAACTTGAGTGGGTTGTTGTCTTCTGGGAGCTGGTCACAATGCGCATCACTGAGTAGGTACTTAAAATATTTACTGGACAAGTAAGGCTTTTTTTTTCTAATCAGGCAAATTTTCAAAAGCTGGATACATGTAAGAAAACATAGACAACACCCTTCCCCATAGGGTCCCGGACAGTAAATGGACATCCCGTAAATGAGGCACGTTCTTGTGAGAAGGCACAATCCAAGGGAACTTTATTGTGAACAGAACATAAACCATGCACAGTAAACACAGAATGGAGCTTCACCGCCCTTCTGAGCAGGGAGTTCACAGGACCCAAGTGTGCTGGAATGGCAAATACAGTACAGGTGAAGGACTGGCCCAGAGGCAGCAACCTGGTGGAATCCAAGTCGAGGGAATGACCCCTAGCGTCCCTGTAAAAGGGCCACAGGCTCCCATCATCCAGAGCCAGCCCCACGCCTTGCTCACCTGACACCCCCCCCCCCCCGCCAATGTCCTAACTCAAGATCTAGGCCAGCTTGTCCTTGTCATGTTCTGGCCTGCAGCTCATGAACTTGTTCCAAGCACTGAACAGGGCAAAGGTTAGCACATTAACTGTGAGGCTTGTTTGGGCCCTCCCCCCTCCACCCATTGGGTGAACCTACAGAACGTGACCCCTTCAAGCAGAGTACAGGTGTGACCCACAAACTAGGGGTTTCCTGCAAAGCACTCGGGGCCAGGCTGGCCACTGAGCCACACGTCTCATTTGCAGCCAGGAGCCTCAATCTCCCACCCCACTGCTTTCTGGCCAGAGGACTTAATGCTTTCCTTATAAGGGAGAGAAGGATGGGTGTGGTGGGGACAGCTGTAGTCCCTGCACACAGAAGGCTGAGGTGGGAAGATCATCAAGAGTTCAAAGTCAGCCTGGGCTACATGGCAAGATCTGACTCAAAACAATAGAAAGAGATAGCAGACAAGCAACGGAGTACAGCTTAACAGAGAACTCTTATGGTAAGGAAGGCACCTCAAACGACCCATTCTAATAACTCACATTCTTCCTCCCGCCCCGGAAGACCCAGGACCTTGCCTGAGGCCTGGCCAGTGTGGTTCTGATCCCAGGGCCCCAGCACACCACCAGATCTGGAAGCAGCACTGTGGTACTCTGGCTGTCAAGGGATCTACCTGCCGACCAATCCTTGGCGGCCTTCTTGGGGCCCTGCCTCTACTACTTCCCAAGCCCTAGATGGATGGCACCAAGGGTCAGAACTGCCCAACTTTGAGGCGCTGCTTGCAAGTAGAAGCCTAGGTGCTTCTAGGATAAAGTAGACCACCCGGGTAGAGCAGCACCAAAGGCCACCTCTGGATTCCCTACGGCCACGTTACTGGCATAACTCTGACCAAAGCAACCTCAGGGTTCAGGCCTTTGTCCTCTGGAAGAGCAAAGCCCCAGGACTCATCTCATGCTGGGCCTGCAGTAGCAGCACATCAGAGGCTGTGCCTCTGCAGCTCAGGTTCCCGAGACAGTGATGCAGCACAGGAGGAGCTCACCACGGATTTGTTACGGACATCCCGCAGTGTTCTGGGTGGGCTGCGGAAATGAAAGCAAAACCAAAAGCGTCACCTTCACTCCTAGGTTTAGAACACCTGAATGGAGGCCGTTTTGGTGACAAGGAAAGTGCCCGAGGAATTTCTTCATCACTTGCAGGATCATGGCCAGCAATTAACAATAGGCCACAGAGCTCTTGGTGCAGAGTGGGAAGGCTGGAGGGAAGAGGACGTCAAAAGGCACGGACACGTAGGAGTACACACCTGCCCACAGAAGCCAGGGTGACACTGTTAACACGAAGCCAGCAGCCAGGAGACACACACTCTGCCATAGTCAAGTTGTTTTTTAGTGTTTTTGTAAATTTATTTTAAAAAATAGCAACTGCAATGACATCAATGATTCATGACCTGGAGCTTTCCTTCTGCCAGGGGCACACAGCTGAGTCCACATGGAAAACTAAGGGGTTACGATGTGGCACCCTGTAGCCAGATGATGGTGTTCGCCCAGTGGGCACAGACACAGGCATGTCCCATGTGCCACTGCCATTAACATATACACACCTACAGGTGTCCTACAGAACAGCGACACAACCGTGCAGGACAGCAGTCATCTGTCTGTGCACTCTGCATCTTCGAGGTTATCACTATAGCCACAAGGGCAAATGAGTACAAGAACTAGTAGTAAAGGAAAAATAACTCAGTCCCCTGCCCCCACCTGTGGGCTACTGTCGTGGCTAAAATGGGCAAAATAAAAAGGGTCCTGAGTTAACTGAAATGCTGGGACAAAACGACAACTGAAGTACTTCATTTCAAAACAAAAGTCAAACTTGTCCCTCAAAAAACCAAAAAAACCAAAACCAATCTGAGGTTTACTATGTACAAACTTACATATGCAAATAAATAGAATTTCAAAACTGTTGTCATAAACACTACAAACCAGGTCTCAGAAATTGCTTTCTGAGCTACTCATCTTAGATTCCTAAACTAACACAGAGAGAAACTCATTCTTTTGAGTAATATCTGAAACTCATGGGCCCGGGAAGTTTCTGAAGAGTTTACCAAGGAGTCAGCCCCTTGCAATCTGGAAGCCAGAGCGATTAGACTCCCAGGGCGAGGAGGCTGTTTCACTTGCAGCTTTGCATAGTTCGGCACCGCCATTTCTGCCAGTACGATGGTAGTTCATGAGGTCTTTTCTATCTCCATACAGGT